ACCAAAATATCCGGCTAAGTAAGTAAGTTTAAGTCCAGGCAATCCTAGTCGTAGTTAATGAAATAAAATGACGTATTACTTGAATTTCCCTGAACTCATTCCTATAAAATCCAAAAGGAATATTCAGTGCTTCTAATCTATTTTTTGTGTCTTGTACACGTCCAATGAATGTATACATTCATTAAATTTTCTAAGTAACACAGATGTGTTCGACGTTATCAATGCGCTAAAAAGTGGCATGAAGAAAAATGACGTGGTTTTCTACAATAATAAAAATGAATTCGAAATATTGTTGAGATAAGAATCACGTTTACATGCTATACCACGTAAAAGCATGTCTCTACCACGTTTTTACGTAGAGCCATGCTGCAGCTATATTATAGTTGTAGCACGAATTAGTGTTGCCCAAAATCGGTCTTGGTCTTGTTCTTGCATTTTTGCAAGACCAAGACCAAGAACAAGACCGCCTAATTTTAGCAAGGCCAAGACCAAGACTGACCGTCCAAGATTTGAGCAAGAACAAGACTAAGCCTGCGAGACTCTTGCGTCTTGCAGTTAGGAATGAGTGTCGTTTCAGGGAGTATAGGAGTTCGGGTATACGCTTAGGGACTCTATGAGACGCAAAAAATGTATAAAATTTTTTTGGAAAATTGGACTTATGCGCATTACGAACATTACCATAAACATACATAGCGGATGAAAATATCCATTAAAAGAAAAAAACAGTGCATCCCTAGTTTTGACCATCGGCACTTTGATAGTGCGCGGCGTCTTGTTGTCAGTATCATCTAAGGTCGACTACTGACCTGTCAAAGAAATTTTGCAGCTATTCGGAAGTACAAGGTCAAGATACACGCGCCGGCCGGCGGCTTCTATTGATATCATATTCAATCGTCGCCGCCGCGCCGCATGCACTATATTTGACACTGTTTGAATGCCACCACAGAGTACATGTTCCAAAGAATAAAATAAGTTTCCGGGTGCTCAGCATGGACACGAATACATTTTGCTGATCTCTCAAGGAATATTGTAATTAGATAATGGTAAGGATAGGTACCATAATAATTTATTCTAGTAAGTAATTATTATAATATTAACTATATGGGTTTATAATAATTACTTACTATTATTATTATTACCTAATAGATAAACATGTTCAATAAGTTCACTGCAAATCTCGATTTTTGGAAGTGTGTGTTTTTGAACACAAAGTGTTCGAATATGTCGTCACCCATTTGATAAATATTGTAGACACTTTTAACACACTTGAAACGTGTAAACATTTTGTACAATGCTAATCGAATAATATAAAAAGTGTGCATATTAAATAAAAAGCGTAAAATAAGATCTATGTACTTTTTAGGAGCCCGAGTAACTTTAGAGAACCGTTTAAAGAAATTGATTGCATCGAATTGATGTAAATAATAGTGATTTGCACAATTTTAATAGTAGAAATAAAAATAAAATCACAATACCTGTTTTCCGGTTACACAAAGTATATAACGCGTTCTTGGGTAGCGATATACGCTATTATAATAAGATTCAAAAAGAAATGTTAGATCTTTCACCTTTTCAATTTAAGTCAGACATGCTTGGAACTGACCTCTCGTACTACACAGGACTAACTGGAAATTTCTAAACCGATTTGGTATCTACGTATACATTTGACATTTTATGTTTGACTTATCGCTTTACATAATTATAGAACTATTGTAAAAATATTTTGAAAAGAGCAACTACTGAGTTTCTTACTTTCTTCCATGATACTTCTCAATAGAACCAGAACCCCTGGACACGGAAAAGAAAAAATTGGGGAAAACAGTGATTATATGACTACTCAAAAGTGTATTTTTAATGCCTACTTGAATAAAACATATTTGAATTTTGAATTTTAAACGAGTGAAGGCAAATTTAATTTAATTAACGTAGATTAATTCAATCACAAGAAGAACATAATATACACAATTTTATTTACATTTCATTTTTACGTAGGCACACTATACCTATCTGGCAAAGCATCTATTTTATTAATCTTCTGAAGAATCATTAATTTTATCAAAGGATGCCGAACTTTCCTTTGTCGGTCTTTCGGCGTGTACTTACAAATAGTAGTATTTATTTTAATTCCAGTCATTCCCAATTGAGCTTTGCTTCGAGTCTAATGTATTAATTGTTTTTACTCTAATCCTTGTTGTTCTCGGAGTGATAAGTTTACAATTTGATATGAGTGACGAAGAGTCGAATAGTCGGAGTAGTGAGAGTTGGAGTTTTTTTTTTATTGATCCACCAACATTTGTATCATTCCTTACATGCTATTTAAATACAATGAAGCGATGAGAACTAAAATGTACAAATAATTACAGGCGGATACAACATGCAAATAAATTTCTCAGCACTGTGTACCTCTATTACTAGGATAAAGAAAGAATTAAAAATTGAAAGAAATTATAACTAAATACAAATAAAAATATATAGAAGCGAAAAGGAAAGAACATATTTTATAGAATGTTACAAAAGATGGTCTCTTAAGGTGCGACGGAGCTTGTTATTTGGGTCGAAAAATATATCAATTTTATCTCTAAATTTGTTAACAAGTTTACTCAATCTAGCAATTGGGGAATTGGAGCCCAACACTGTTCTTCTATACGGTCTAGTCTATGGTGTAATCTTACGAGCGTAACGCGGGTAACGAAAGGGAACGCATATATTAAATTTACTTAAAATTTCAGGACAGTCAATAACACCACTAATAATTTTAGAAGCAAAAATCAAATCAATAATATCCCTGCGGTTTTCAAGAGAAATCATTTTGAAATTGATCAAATTATTTTCATATGATACACGTTTCTTATTACTTCTAAATCCGCTTGCGTATGACAAATGTCTTATAAATCTTTTTTGGATCCCCTCGATTCTCAGTGAATGTGTAGCGTAATGAGGTCTCCAGACTACAGCACTGTACTCTAATATACTTCTTACCAAACTGTTAAATAAAAAGAATTTTAATTCTAGCATTTCGAAAGACTTTGATAAATCTTATGACAAAACCCAACATTCTAGATGCACGTTTAGTTATGTTTTCAATGTGCGGTACGAAAGTTAATTTTTTATCAAATATGACCCCGAGGTCCCTAATTTCGTCTAACTGCTGTATTTTATTACATCCAATGTGATAGCTATAGTCGATAGTGTTACTTTTTCTCGCATATTGCACATAGAAACATTTACTAATGTTTAAGTCCATACGATTTACTTTGCACCATTTAATCAGTTGATCAAAATCGTTCTGTAGCTTTATTGAATCGTTCTCTTCCACAATCGTCTTGCAAATTTTTAAGTCATCCGCATACAAGTACACACGAGACCATTTCATCAATTCTGGAATTTCGTTTACAAACACCCCAAACAGAATCGGTCCAAGGTGAGACCCTTGGGGCACACCAGAATTAATATTTTTTAATCCTGACTGATATCCATTCACCACCACAAAAAACGCTCGGTCCTTTAAATACGATTTTAGCCATTTTAACATACTACCAGTAATGCCGTAGGCAGCTAACTTACGAACCAATATGTCATGTGGGACCCGATCAAATGCTTATAGAGTTATAGATCTAAAAGACCTAAAAGTAAATTTGATGAGTTTTTCGACATAATTCATGCATCCCAAATTGCTTTGTGTAAATTATGCCAACATAAAAAGGTTGAAATAAAAATGAAAAACAGAAACACTTCAGGCTTAAGGAAGCATCTAATATCTTTCCACAAAAAGGAATCACAAATATTTCTTCCTGAAAAACCAAAATTAAGTGGAGATATCACAAGATTTTTAATAACCACTGGAAAAAGTGGACAGGTAAGAAAAAATATACTTATCACACAATTACATAACACATAATATATTATGTAACTAGCGGCCGCCTGCGACTTCGTCCGCGTACAATATCTGATTTCCTATGAGATTTTGAAATTTTCTCGCTGCAAAAGTCTTACCTAAGTATAAAGTGGCTATATAGGTAAAGCTTAACTATGCAAGTATTTATTATTTAAAACTAATAAATTAAATGTCTATCTTCATATCTACTATACCTTAAAAATATAGGACTTGCATGTAACCATTTTACCCCAATTTCACCCCCTTAGGGTTAGGATTTCGTAAATCAGCTTATTCAGGATTTTATTATTGAAAACTTATAACTTTAATGCCGATTTTCGTGTCTCTAACTTCAAAAACGTAGGAATTTCATACAAACTTCCAACTCCCATTTCACTCTCTTAGGGATAGATTTTCTCAAAACCACCTTACAACATAGTTCCTGAGATATCGTTATAGTCAGTCAGTGAGTGGTAGTTATATATCGCTCATTTGGAGAAACATCGACGTAATTGCTATTTTTCCAATTTTACAGGAGAGTGATTTAAAGTGTTTTTATTTATTTTGTAATGTGTTACCGTCTCCTGATGATGACTCTTGCCTATTTTTTATATTTAAAATGTGGCTATACTAATGTAATTTTATGTAGTTTTCAATAAAGCTGAATATTTATGTTGGTATTCTAATAAATAAATAAAAATATGTCGGATACCTACAATTCCGTCTTTGTTTCCCAAAGATTCAGTATAATGCGCAGAGTGCCGCGTATACATTTTTTTATGATTTTATGACAAAATGAAACCATATTTTGAAAGTAATCAAACTATTATCCATTTATTTCGAATAAAATTTGTAATATTTGAGGAACTTAAACTTATATAATAGATAATTTTCACTTAAAGAATCAAAAGGCACGACAATCACAGCTTCGTTAGGCCTACTTTTACAAAATATTAAATTTAACGTACCTAGCTTAATTTGAACAAGTAGATACCATTTAAATGTTTAAAACATTGTCGTAAAAACTGCAATAAAACCTTGGTATGATATTTTTTTGGCTAAGTCATTTTCTTATTTTGAGCAATAGGTATTTTTCCACGATACGCTGGCTTTAGTGTTAAATCTATTATATCTTTTGTGTCTCCCTTATTTCGTCTGGAGATTTTTGTAACGGCTTCTGTCCAGTCTTCCTCGTATCCAGTTTTAAATTTATATGTTCAATTTTCCTTTTGAAATTTAATCATTTTATATCATTCGTTTTAATGGTGTTTCCATGTACGTCTTTTGCGGTGTTTAGTCCAATTTCTTCCGCTAATTTTTTGAGATCATAGAAATCGTCATAGTTTAACTCTTCTACAATAAATGGATTGCCATTTTTTTTGCAGACCTTATGATTTGAACGTACTGCTCTGGCACGTATATGGGGGCCCAGACTTTTTAGATTTTTTAATAGCTTTTTCTATTAACGAGTGCGCTGTGTCTCCTTCATTTTGGGTATGCCCGCGGATCAAAAATTTATGAGCGATGGTTTTGATTCGTAATGTTTTGATGGCATACAGATACATTGAGAAAATGAATCTGGAAACGTTAAAATAAAATGTAGTACTTACATTAATATTCATAATTTAGGTAGATTAAGAATGTAGAATTATTGAAAATAGTCAATTCATTTATCCAACTCACCTGTTCTTCTGCTGTCCACAGCAGTTGTCGGTATAAAACGTAACGTCAGAATTAGGATATTTATCAGATACTTTTTGCAGGAATTTGTAGACACAGGAACCGATCTCAACTGCACCCCGACCTCCTAAAGCCTCATGCCAGAAGTAACAAATCGTCTCCTTGTTTTTTATATCAGTGATCTAAAAAATTAATCGAAATTTATTGTATTAAAAAATAAAATTGTAGTTTGTGAAATAAAAAAGTCAAGAGTAACTTACAGTTAAATTCAGACAATTTAATTTAGACTTATAAAAGAAAGCTGTTGATTCTCCAATCGGTACAGGCATCACAGCTTGTAAATCAAATATAGCTACTATGCTATTGCTTTCCGCCATTTTACAAGTCTCAATGTCATTCTTTTTTTCAGCTCGACTGAGTTCTTTTTGGCGCAGATGTTCCAAATATTGATTTTCTAATACTTCATCACCGTCAACTGCATTTTTACGAGATTCACGTAGATCGCACTGATCTTTCTTGGGGATGAAAAAAGAAATGTTAAACTCTTTAGTAAATGTTCGGTAGTATAAATCATAGTTGGCAGCAGTTTTGTTATCGGATTCCCTCATGTTTTTGTAGTCACGATGTAAATCAGCTAGTGTGAGACCACCATCAATGTATTCTCGACTCGTGTTTGCACGGAGATAATGACTGTCAATCCTAGCTATGGAGTTTATATGAACTCTAACGGAGTCCAAGACTTCTGGATCAGTTTTAATATGATGATCATGCTTGCCACGACTGTCCATTGGTGCACTGCCTAGAAAGCCTTCACTTGTTTTAGCCTCGATCACAGTGAGTAAAGTTCTATCCGTAATTCCCAATGTGTTTAGTAAGAAAGTTTTGCAAACTCTTACATTTTGCCCATTGTTGTCTGAACAAGGCGGCTTCATTGCTTTGGCAGGAACAGTTTTACCAGTGCGAGATGTATATTGTTTACCCAAATTCTTTAATTGTTTTATTTTATTTTTCTTCCACTGAGCCTCATTCCTCACCCTTTTCTTTTTATTTTTATTAGGAGATTGAACAATATTATCTGTATTTTGGGGTGATCCATCATTTGGCATCACACTGTTACTGGAATGATTATTTTGCTGTGATATAACCTCGAGAGTCTCGCCAGATTGCATTAAGTGGGAGCTGCGTATAGTAGAGTGAAAAGAAGTGGATCTGCTTGATGATGAGCTTGATGACGATGAAGAGGAACTGCTTGAACTAGATGAAGACATTTTGCGAGTGCGTTTTGCTGGCCGATATTCATCACTACTGTCATCTGGTCTTCACAGTCTGATTTTAAATATTTGCCATCTACATTTGCACTATTTTCGATGGATTTTGGTAAAACTAATTCAGATATTTCTGGTTGCGAGTTATTATTGGCTGGTAAATGGAGCTGGAATTCAGACACAAGAGGAACGACATAGTTGTCTTGTTCTAATGTGGAAACGTTCCCTTGTGTCAAAATCGACTTACTTGCAGTCGAGTCTTCAGAATCAGAGCTAGATGAGGATAAAGTTGATGTAGATTTCTTAAGATCACGAACAGGTTGGAATTCGAAGGTTTCTGATTCGTGTTTACTTGTGTCATACTCTGCAACGTTATTAAAAATGATTGAAATATCTTCATTGTGATACGGAGAGTTTCGCAAACTTGGAAGTCAGAATAAATACTCTCAACTTGTTCATTTATATTGGCTAAAGGAAAATTAATAAATTATAGCAAAACAAAACCAAAATAAAAAACAGTCTAGTTGTCTGCCTATTTTACACATACCATTCCCACTCTGATCATCAACACCAACAATATTGACATTATTTAAATACGTCATTGTGTCAATAGATGATGGTTCGTGTCTATCCATTACTAAATTGACCAACTTTCTACCACGTCCTTCGATTAATTTGTAAATAACCATTTTTCCATTTGTAAATAACCTAAAAATAAATGAATAGGAAATCAAAACAAAATTATAAATCACCAGCGCGCGTCATGTGACTTTTATTTACATTCACATAAGGTTTAAATTACAAATATTGACGCGCTCTCGTGAAATGCATTAACTGTACATGATACAACATAAAAGAAATTTTAAAAAGTAAATCTAACTTCAAGGACTAAAATAATCCCACGTGGAATTTAGGAAGTTTACTGCGACTTCACGCAGACAAAAAAAAATTATACGAACATTTCATGTAATACAACACAACAAAAATACTTAGCCAAGTATCGTGAAAATAAGCTGACTTAGTCTTTTTAAAATGTATATATATTTAAATAATTTCACAAAGCAATGTTTAAGCGTATTTGAACCAAATAATAATATTTTTCTACCAACAACGACATTACTAATAGGAAATTACAAAAATTATGTCATTGCTTCTGCAAAAACAAATATATTTTGGGACAACAATGTCGAAAATGTTCATTCCGTCGTTGTAGCCCCAAAAAGAACGAAAAATAATGTCATAATTACCGTTACGTCGATGTAGCACCCAAACACAAATACGCTTCGCGGAGTCCCCGCGCAACTGACCGATGCGTCGCTGTTTCCGCGAGATCTTTGCGAGTTAGCATAAATGCAACAACGACGCTAGCGCTACCTACCGATAAATAGACTGAAGTTGATTTACGTCTTTGTTTCTCCTAACGTAAATACACTTTCTAAGTGATTTGTCATATTTATCTAATTTTTGGAAAAAATTACATTTACGTCGATGTTTCTCCAAATGAGCGATATATATATATATATATATATATATATATATATATATATATATATATATATATATATATATATATATATATATATATATTATATATATATATAGATTATAGTGTTAAATATGTATTTATAATTCACTCATATTTTCATTTGTTTTTATAATCGGCGAGACACATGATTTACTGTTTTATTTCAGTCTGAAAATAGCAGTGACAACATCACGACAGCTACAGTTGATTGGATGGTTAAAAAATATCTTCCCTTCTCAATTTTCGATGACGAAGATACACAAGTATATTTTCGATCAATTTGCCCAATAAAAAATATCTTTGGACTCCGGATCATTTAGTACGTTTATGTGGCTTAGTTCTTGTCTCTTTTGGAACCATTTTTTCACCCAGCAACTCTTCTTTTTTCTATTTTCGAATAAATCAACCGAGAAGGCTAATGAAAACCAACAGGTTACTGTTTTGAGAGAGTTGGAGGCATTTTGAAGCGCTCTGCAATGTGCAATAATATAATGCTCCGTTTAAAAAAATCCTCTTCTGGCCACATCATGTCACGTGATGAGCTCTCAAAACACTTTGAGTTTTGCACAGTCCAGTTTGCGCGAGCTTACCTGCACGAGCCATTGTACAGTCAATACTGCACAAGCCTGGACTGTGCAGGCAAGATGGAGCGTGAAGCCGGGCAATTAGATCGAGTTTAGAACAAAGTGCTTATTGGTGCTGGTGTACCACAAGGCTGCGTTTTTTTATTTTATAGGATAGGGTGACAAACGAGCACACAGTCCACCTGATGGTAGGTGGTTGCTGTGGCCCATTGATATCTACATCTATCCTCGATTACGAATCAAAATGTAGATGTATTGTCACCCGTGAGGACTAAGATGGAATGCCTCGTTTCCAGTAAAAAGGGTCTCTGCTCCTCTACACTCACCATACGAAGCATAGCAGCATTGATGACTGGGATTGAATTTAAAATATTCATGAAACATTTCATAGACAACGTAAAACCATCTCCATCCGATCCTGTGCTTTTATTATTGGACAATCATTCTTCGCATTTGGATATTGAAGTCGTCGAAACAGCTAAAGTAAACATTGTGGTATTGCTGTCCTTACCACCACATTGCTCGCATAATTTCCAGCCCATGGGTTTGGGGGTCTATGGACCATTTAAAAATTACTGTGCCAGCCAACAAGATGCTTGGCTTAGAAACAATCCGGGTAAGACTATGACTATTCACAATATTCCATCTATAGTGATTAAAGCTTTACCATTGGCGCTGAATCCGGTTAACATCATCAACGGATTCAAAAATACTGGCATTGCATCATTTAATAAAGATATTTTTCAGGATCATTATTTCTTGTCTGCTTTTGTTACTAACAGACCAATAGACGAAACTGCTAACTCAAATCTTGAAGAGACGCCTGTTACAACAGAGAATACTCCAATTCATTTCACTGGGACTCAGTCTCCAGTTCCTCCACATTTCTCCATAGACAATAATATACCTTCTATTCCCAAATTTATTGAAGAGGCTACTAAAGTAGTAGATACTGCAGGAGAATGCGAAAGCACCCTTTATTGTTCAGTTGCTGGTTGTAGCAGAGATCTGATTCACAATTAATATATACTGTGGACCGGCTGGCGCGTGGTTTGTTTGACCGCGCCGACAACGGGCCACATCCACACCTTAGTAACTTTGCGCCGCACCACATACGACCTCCGGACGGACGACCCTATCCAAGAGAACTCCTCTCTATATAGATTAGAGAGTCGAATATGTCCCACAATGCCGCAGAAAGGCCAACTCTGACAAATATAGTGTAAAACAAAAATATTGGATAACTCCCACTCCCTCCACTATAATTTACCCAACTGCGGCCAAAGCCGCTACTATAATTTAACATCGCCTTGAATAAGGTACCCAGGACCGGCACATAGTAGTGTGCCGTGATGAATGCCCGGGTAAAGGGGTGTACCCCGAGGCCCGACACAGACAGATAGCCCACGCAGAAGACAACGATCAATGAATATATAACTTTTTCTCCCGATAACATTCGGCCTTATCCAAAAACTGCTGCAAGAAGAAACAACGTAACACGAAAAACTAAAAAATCAGCTATTTTAACTGATACCCCGGAAAAAATGTATTGTAAACACAGCAACAGAGCAAGAAAAAGGAATTTACATAATTTTTTTATAGGAGAGGAGAGGTAACTAAGAAAGGGAAGTCAACTGAGGCAGGAAAGGTGAAGAGGGTAAAAATCCTAAGGAAACCACAAACAAGGAAGATTGCTGTGAAAAGGAAGGTTTTACATGACTCTGAGTCTGACGGAGGAAGTGTAAATGATTATTTCTGCCTGATATGTTCAGTAGTAGAGTCAGTAGATCAGAGTCGAGATGGTGAGGAATGGGTACAGTGTGTTGTTTGTAAGAAATGGTCACACGTAACATGTGCAAAGGGAAATGTTTTATCCTACATATATTTGAATTGCGAAAGTGATTGTTCAGACTATCGTGACAACTGTTTTTTAGTTTTTAGGATCTGATCGTTTTTAAAGAGAGACTATTTACACGGTAATATCATCTATAGATAATATTACCGTGCTATTTATTTTTTGTTCATGTGATGAGGGTTAATATATGTTTTGATAATTCATACTAAGTTTTTGTTTGTTTTTAAAGAAATTCTTTATTTTCTACCGGGTTGTAAGTTACCTAAATTTTATTTTTATGAGGAATAAGACTAAAACATAAGATTATTATTTTGTTAAACGAAGTTACTATGTTTTTGTTTTAATTTTTTCAATTGAGACATTGTAAATATTACGAAAGATTTTTCAACAGCAGTTAATCCATTTCGAGCAATTATTTTATGATTGACACTAATAACTGGAAGAGCTTGTGTATAAACTCGGCACGAGCTATTTGAACACACTGTTAATTCCATAGCACTCGGTAAATCTTCAAACAACATTTTCCACAGCCTGATGACATTGTCAGTGCCATCAATTCTAGGAGCAATCTCGAATTTATTCTTTGTTATATTTAAAAAGCCCATTTTTTTACTTTTGCTTAAAAAAATTGTTGAACATGGTTGCGAGAGCTTGGAAACAATTTTTTATAGAATTTTGGATCTATTTCTTTACTTTTAGTTTAAGTAGTTTATTGATTTTTTGACAAATAATTGATTTTATTATTAATGAGACATATTATGACGTCGCATTTCCGTACAGGTACGTATGTATAATTATGTAACTAAATAAAAATTGTTAATTAAACCGAAAATAGATAAAATTTTGATAGAACAAACGCATTATATCAAAGACCAAA